CCGCTTGGAATGTATACTGTCCAGTCCGTCATGGTGAGTGCTGTCATTTCCGGTTCTGATCTGTATGGGTTTATATATGGGGGGTCCAATTCTATATGTTTGTTGATTGCATTTTGGGTTGAGAACCATGCCTCTAGGAATTCTTGTGTGTGTCTATGTTTGGCTCGGGCTACTATGGTTACGTTCTCCCAGTTAAACTGATGGCCTTCATTGTCTGTGTGTACTGTTATTAAGGAAAGATCATCGTGTCATTTTGCTGCTAGCTTATGTTCATGTATTCTGATGGCTAGTTTCCTTCCTGTCTGTCCAATGTAATGTTTGTTGCAGTCGTTGCATGGTATTTTGTAAACCATGTTGATTCTGCATGTTGTGGGGATGGGGTCTTTAATCCTTATGAGTGTCTGTCATAGAGTGGCTGTGGGCTTGTGGGCCACCATCATTCCTAGTGGTCTTGGGAGTCTTGTTGTCAGTTCTGATATAGTCTTGATGTAGGGCAGTGTGGCCAGTGCGTTAGGGTGTACTGTGTCCTCCTGTTGTTGTCTATTTAGGAGGCACCTGTGGATGAAGTTGCAGGGATATCCATTCATAGCGAAGATTTTGTACAGGTGCTCTTCCTCTTTCCTGCGTAGTTCTGGCATGTTGCAGTGAGTCATGGCCCATTTAAATAGTGTCCTAATACAGCTTCATATGTGGACATTGGGGTGGTTGCTGTGGAAGTTGAGGATTTGGTCAGTATAGGTTGCTTTCCTGTATACTGAGGTTTGGGAACTCCCCGTTGGTCATACTTTCAACTCTGACGTCCAGAAATGGAAGCTGATTGTTGTTTTCTTCTTCTCTCGTGAATTGTGAAACCACAAACCGAGCTGCAAATCTTTGTTAAAATAGAATATTTTACTTTGTTAGAATATGAGTTCCCTGATTGGGGCTGTTAATCTGGTCCCATCAGAGAGCCCTGGTTGACAGATAAAAAGGGGAATGTCAGACATTCTGACATTCTGACATTCTGAGAGCTGGCTCTGAGGGAGCTGGACCATTGTCAAAGACTTGCCACGTGTAAATAAGGGGTGATTTGGTGGCAGGATACTGGCCTCTGTGGAGTGGTGACAAGAGTAAAGCACGTTTTTCAAGAAACTCATTTGCAACAGTTGTCTTTGAGTTGCGGTAAGCATTTCTGGCATCATGTCGTTATTTGGGGAGCTTGACTTACTTGACTGTGCTGTCGAAGTCTGGGCCCGGTATGTGGAAAGAATGCATTATTTTTTTCCAGGCAAGTCTCCTGATAGCTTGTGGGCCCGCAGGTTTTTTGGTTATTAGGAGCCTAACTTTTCTTGAGGCACCAGATACTAAAACATTTCAAGAGTTGACGGATTTAGTAAAGGAATATTACAACCACAAGCTCTTCCTCTAATTCTGATATGCTATCATTTTCATTCAACAATTCAAGAACGAAGGGAATCCGTATCAGGATTTTTGACGAAGTTAAGATGGCTGGCACAGACATGTGGCTTTGATTTATCATTTAATGAGATGCTGAAAGACCTGTTGGTATGTGGGATTAATGATGTAAATGTGCAAAAGTCATTACTAGCTGAAGTCCAACTGGCCTTCAAACAGGCACTACAACTGGCTTTATCAATGGAAAATGTTTCAAGTACAGCATGAGTTGCTGGGTATTCCGATGGATTTGGACACCCTCGCCAGTCTGACTGAGCTCGGGGAATACCACTTAAGTGAAGGCAATTGCATAGCCTCACTCAGGACACATCCTGAACAGATGGATACAGCCCACAACAAAACCCCAAAGCAAAGCCAAGCCTTGGCTAAACGAGTAAAATTGTTTTCAGAATCCGGGATGGCAAGCCATTGTAGTTGCTGCCAGTGTGCGGACTTCAGACGGCAAACGAGTCCTACTTGACTTAAACTGAGTAAGAGAACTCATAGGCCAGTATCCAGGAAAGTTCATACCCTGAAAAGTTCACCCACATCTGGTTTAGAACAGTTAAATTGCTTAGCAACATTCAAACCAGAGCAAATCAAAATAAACAAATGGTTAAATGGTTACATAGCCAAATCACAGTCTTCTGGGAAGTGAAAAAACAGCTATCATCCTCCAAGGTAATGGCACGCTATGATCCCAAGTGAGACCTGGTATTGATATGCGATGCTCCCCCCCTCGTATGGCATCAGGGTAGTCTTAGCTCATTTGTGGCCCAATGGAGAGAAACACCCAATAGCTTATGTCCAGGTGGAGAAGGAAGGTTTGGTGGCCACATTTGGAGTTTGGAGGTTCCACCAATACCTTTACAGACACAAATTTGTAATAATGAACTCAAACCCCTGCCAGGTCTCCTTAAAGAGAACTAGGCTGTGCTGCCCATAACTTCAAGCCAAATTCAGCAGTGGGCTCTAATACTGAGTGTGTATAACTATAAGTTGGAACACTGTCCAGGAGGTCAAGTGCAAATGCAGATGCACTGAGCTGCCTTCCACTGGCAGATACACCACGAGTGGTACCACTACTTAAAGATTCCATAATGGCTTTAAATTCTCAGTCACAGCTGACAATATCAAACTTTGGATGCAAAAAGATCCGGTCCTGACAAAACTGAAACAGCTGGTGGTAATAGGGGAAACCAAAGAACCATCACAACTAGAATTGAAACCTTTCTGGACCGTGAGACCAGATCATGATAGATGACAATATATTATTACGGGGAAAAAGAATGATAGTCCCAAACAAAGGTCACTGCCAGGTACTGGCTGAACTCCACCAGGGTCTCCAAAATGAAGATGTTGGTGAGAAGTTACGCCTGGTGGCCAGACATGGCCATGTTGGTGGGGCAATGCCCAGTGTGCCAACAAGGACAAAAATTAGTGCCAGCAGCTCACCCACCTTCGTGAGAATGGTCACTAAACCGTGACTTGGTTACACATTGATTATGCAGGTCCTTTCACGTGCTCATTGTTCTTAATCATTGTGGATGCCCACTCAAAGTGGTTGGACAAACAAGGGAACAACAACAGAAAAACTGGACGCACCTTTGCAATACACAGATTCCAGAAGTGTCAGTCACAGATAACGGGCTATTGTTTATCAGCAGGGAATTTGAGTATTTCTTAAAGTCAAATGGGATTTGACATAATAAGGACTGCTCCATATGATCTATTATTCAGTGGCCTGGCAAAAAGAGCAGTCCAAACTTTGTATGCAGGCTTAAAGAAACATCCTACAGCTTCACTAGATACCAAACAGTCCCGGTTCCTATTTGATGATAGGACCATCCTTCATACAAATACATCTCCAGCAGAGCTGTTAATGGGGAGCAAAATACTCACCAGGTTAAATCTCACCTTCCTGGACCAGGGGGCAAGGGTGAAATGGCATCAGGAGCAGCAATGCCAGACACAAGACTCCTCTAAGCGACAGCGTCAGTTTACTACAGGGGACAAAGTTTTGTATAGGAACCACGGGAATGGTCCTGCATGGCCGACGGTCAGGACCAGAGACATATAAAGTTTGGGTAGGATTGACGTTCCTGAACAAGTACTTGGGCCATACAAAAGCTGCAAACTCACAAATGGTAGAGCAGCAAAATGTGCCCTGTTACCCAGAATAGTTGAAAAGGCTGGCTGAACCGGTGGATTTTCCCTCTCTGTCAAGAAATGAAGAGACCTCTGAGTCAGATGGACACGTCAAAGCGCACCATATCAACACCTTTGCCACCGGAAGAAGTGAATTTCTTCTGACACCCATGGAGGCAAGAGGCAAGCTACTGTGTGTTACACGCTGCCCGTGTCCAATGCAGAGTCAGAGGAACCTGACCCAGTGCTAAAGCACTCCAGGAGGAGCTTCCGGAAAAAAGACCAGCCTATATCCTCGGACTCAGTGGGGGAGGGATGTAGTGATTGTAACGACGGCAACCAGGTGGACTTCATAGAATATGAGTTCCCTGATTGGGACTATTAATTTGGTCCAATCAGGGAGCCCTGGGTGACAGATAAACAGAGGAGCGTCAGCTATTCTGACACTCTGACAGGTGGTTCTGAGGGAGCTAGACCAGTGTCAAAGACTTTCCAAGTGCAAATAAAGGGTGACTTGTTGATGGGATATCAGCCTCTGTGGAGTTATTTCAGAGGGCTTTCAGCATCCATTTAGAAATTAATGCATTTCTGGATGCTGTCACCGAGAGGCAGGATGTGGATGAGAAATAGAAGGAATCAAGGATAGATTCTTACACAACATCAGAGGTAAAGGTGTGAGAACAGGAAGAGAAATCATTGCAAGTGATTCCCTGGCTACAATTGGACAGGCAAGAATGGAACTGGGTGAGAGCAGTCGCACTGTCAAAGTATGTGTTCAATTCTTCTGCTATGTCTTTCTTCTCCTTTAGAATTTCCCTGCCTCTGACTGAGAGGATCTAGATTTGTCTTTACTAATCCTTTTCTCTTCATATAGTTTTTGAAACTTATATAGTCATTTTTTTATGCTCCCTGTAATCTTACTCTCATAATCTATTTTTTAAAATCTATAAATATAAATCATAATCTATTGATTAAAAATTTTTGTCCTCTTTTGCTAAATCCTAAAATGCTCCCAAATCTCAGGCTTGCTGATTTTTCAGGCAATGTTGTATATCTCTTCTTTGGATCACATACTGTCCCTAAATTTTTTTGTAAGCCATGGGTGAACCACTTTTCCTCTTTTATTTTTGCACCAGACAGGAATAAATAAGTGTTGTAATTCATGTACCTGCTCTTTAAATACAAACCATTACCTATCCATTATCAACCCTTTCAGTAAAGTCTCATTGTCGCTGGATCAGAGTCCAAGATCTCCTAAACATCACCAATGGTGAACCTTCACAAAATGAAGGAGGTCCGACTTAACCTTTTCGGGACAACTAAGGACGAACAATAATGGTGGCTTTGCCAGTGAACATGTGAAATCATTTTAAAAACAAATAAATGTTTAGCAGCCATTTATTGAATATTGAACGCACCTGTCAAATTCTGTATACTCTGCTTTTGTAGGTGGTGTAATTGAGTTTTGTTTTGGAGGGAAACTGATTTCAGCATTCTCTAGCTCATCATCTGAATCTTTTGAGTCCAGTAAAGATCTCTTCTCCTCATCGTCATCCACCTTCCCTTCTTTTTTCTTTTTTGTGACAATTTCTACCAATTTTCCATAGTTACCTGAAAAGAATTGAATTAACATTTTGATTTCATGTTTAGAACTCTCCTCAGTCTTCCCACATGCAGATTTCAGGGCAGCACAACAACTTTAAAAAAAATTGTTGGCACAACTCAGCTGGTCTGGCAGCACATGTGGGATGAGAAACAGAGTTAATGTTTCAAATCCAAAGACTCTTCTTTCAAAGCTGTAATGTGATGAGAATCGCATAATTATGCATGAAAAGCCAAGCCACCTCTGAGTAGACATGACAGTCAATTTCACGCCTGCCACCAAATCCGGACTGTTTAATCAGGTGATTCTGTCCAAAGAGTCTGCACAAGAATTGGAAGAGGTTCAGTTGAGTGGGCAAAAAAATGGTAGATGGAGTGCAAAGTAGGAAAAGGTGAGGTCATCGACTTTGACAGGCAGTATAGAAAAATAGCATTTTATTTAACCCAAGAGGGTTAATTCTATGGAATTCCTTGCCCAGTGAAGTAGTTGACGCTACTTCAGTAAACGTTTTTAAAGAAAAGGTAGATTGTTTTTGAACAATAAAGAATTAAGGGATACAGTGAGAACGCGGGTAAATGGATCTGAGTCCACGAAAAGATCAGCCATGATCTTATTGAATGGTGGAGCAGGCTCGAAGGGCCAGACGGCCTACTCCTGTTCCTAGTTCTTATGTTCTTATGTTCTAAGAGCAATTGCATAACTGTGAGGCACACAAGAATCTGGATGTCCTAGTACAGGAATTACAGAAATTTAGGGTGGCACGGTGGCTCAGTGGTTAGCACTACTACCTCACAGTGCCAGGGACCTGGGTTCAGTTCTACCCTTGGGTGACTGTCTGTGTGGAATTTGCACATTCTCCCTGTGTCTGTGTGGGTTTGCTCCAGTCTCCTCCCACAGTCCAAAGATGTGCAGGTTAGGTGGATTGGCCATGCTAAACTGCCCATTGTGCTCAGATGTGTAGATTAGGTGGGTTATAGGAGATGGGTCTGAGTGGGATGTTCTGAGGTTCGGTGTGGACTTGTTGGGCTGAAGGGTATGTTTCCACACTGTATTGATTCTATCTATAATCTGCAGCTGCAGCACATGATTCAGAAGGCAAAGGGAATGTTGTTATATATGGGAATGGAATATAAAGATAGGAATTTATTGATGCAGTTGTACAGGTTATTGGTGAGACTACATCCGGAGAACTGTGTACAGTTTTGGTGTCCTTATTTAAGAAAGGTATTATTTAATAATGATAATAGCCTCAGAGGATGTACCTGGGATGGAGGTGGTACCTTAGGAAGGAAGATTGAATAGGTTGAACCTGTATCCATTAGAGTTGAGAAGAACGTGAGATAATTTTATTGAAAGATATAAGATCCTGAGAGGTCTTGGCAGCTGACAGCGAAAGGTAGTTTCTTTTTGCGGGAGAGGCTTGAGCCAGGCGCTATCGTTAAATATTAAACGACCTCCCATTTAAGACAGAGACGAGAAGAACATTTTTCTGAGAATCATGAATCTGTGGAATTCTTTTCCCCAGAGAATGGTGAAGGTGGAGCTATTGAAAACAAGACAGTAGTGAATGAATTTTTGCTTAACAAGGAGTTCAAAGCATATGGGTGGGGGGTTGGCAGGATGTGGATTAAAGTCACCAATCAGATCAGCCATGATCTTTTCAAATGGTACAGTAGGCTTAAGGGGCAGAATGGCTGACTCCTAATTTGAATCTGTATGTTCCAAATAAACTGCAGGAAGCAGTAAGAATGCAAAGGCACTTACTGCTTAAGACAATGCTGCAGGAATTCAGGATTGGGACTGAAAGCAATCCCTCCTGGTGTTGAAATTCCAGCCAAGACGATCAGATAAGTGTGGGCGTCTCAGAGGTGGAGTGAGACTCCATAATGGGAGGGGTGGTGTGGGCAGAATGGCCAGCCTAGGCTTCACTCATCCCCTCACTGTGAGGTCAGGATGGAGAGCAGCTGGTGGGAAAGGCACCATTCCCTCCCACTCCTTTCCCTCGTCAACTTTCAGCGGCTGCAAACCTGCTGAGGAGGATGTAAAATCCTGCACATATAAACTACTCAAAAGAGGACCATTTGGCTCAGTGTGTCTGTGGTTGATGAAAAGGTGCCATCTAGCTCTGCAGGTCTGAAACTGCAAGTGAAAACCCAAATAACAAGGTGTGGGGCTGGATGAACACAGCAGGACAGGCAGCATCAGATGAGCAGGAAAGCTGATGTTTCGGGTCTGGACCCTTCTTCAGAAAGTGAAAACACAAGTAATGTTTTCAATGGGGTAAGGGTTTCTGCTTCTACCATCCTTTCAGGTGGCAAGTTCCCGATCCTCACCAGCCTTTGGGTGAAAGTGTTGTTGCTCAATTCCCCACAGACGGCCAATCACAAGAAGTCACCCCCAAATAGAATCAGTAGAAATGGGGAAAGTGCTCCTCCAATCACAGGCTGGTTCTCTCCCATGCTTTTTTTTGATAGGCCAACTGGGAGGATAGATAGTAGGAACTGCAGATGCTGGAGAATCCGAGACAACAAGGTGCAGGGCTGGATGAACACAGCAGGCCAAGCAGCATCATAGGAGCAGAGAGGCTGACGTTTCGGGCCTAGACCCTTCATCAGAAAAGGGGGAGGGGAAGGGGGTTTTGAAATAAATAGGGAGAGAG